AAAAGAAAAGCAATCTAATCTAGATTATCTATGTCCATTCTATTGTTCAGTACTTGCTGATTATACGACATACAAATATGTTATACTTCAGTGTACATATTATACAGCATAGTGTCACAAAGTAATTCCTAGAGAGACTGCAAAAACTCTAGAAACTTTATAAAAAATATTAAAACGTGTTTGTGTCTTGTGCAGCAAGAACTAATTCAGTTAAAATACTAGCCGACTCAAAAACTATGACAGAGGCACTAGAAAGAGCGCTGGCACCATTATTGACCTTTGGTTCTTTCTTCGGTTTAGGCATGTTCGAATATCCTCGTGGACAACCTAGGGCGTATCTCTCTTGCCTATATGTTTTGGCCAAATGGGGCTCTCTTATGTACTTTTATTACTATCCATATTTAAAAAGGATTTTGCATGTTGAAAAGGCATTCGACATCCAAATCATCAATTTGGTTCTTATCAACACATTAATTCTCATTAGCCTTTGTCGTTTCAAGGTAAAAATTTTGAAATATACTCTCAGTCCATATATAATAATACTTGAGCTTATATTACTTATTTTTAATTTAATAGTATTTTTAATTGAGAGCATTAAAGGAGTCTTAAATTCATATTTATAGGCAAATACAAAATTATAAAACGTTTTATAAAAGACTTTCAGTATCGTTAACCATCTACTTTTAATCAAACTCAAGCAGTCTCTCCTATTCGGCTATTCCGCTAATCTGCTTATTTCTTACAAATCGCATGCAGCAAAAAAGTCCTCAAATATAATTTATTTTCTTTTTCCTCTTCTTCTCGTGCCGTTTTTCTGGAGTACATCAGGATATCATTTACAGAATTTTACTTTTTAATATTGTATTTATATCTAATGTTTCTCTATAACCTCTGAGGTCTTCATGTATGCAGTCGACGTAATTTTTTTCAAATTCTTTCACCCATTTAATGTTTTTGTAGTCTGGTTTGTTTTAAATCAAGATCTAAAATTTATTGCCAAATGGTCTCTCTCTATTAATAATTCACTGCATCTAAATCCCTCTAAATCATCCTTGCTAATTGTCGGTTCCTCAACATTATTATCCTGTATTCGATCTTTCAATATTTCTATTAACTTCTTCCAATTCCTTGCTCCTCTTCTATTAACCCTTTGCGGCACAATATCTTACATATATGATACCATTTTAACTTCAGTTTTCTATGTTTTTCATATAGTTTTTTACATATTATTACAATAAAAAAAACATTGTCAGTGTTTAGAACATCAATTGTTATAAAAAAACTGTAGAAACATTCCTATTGTTAACGAAATGTATTTTATAAATAAACAAACTGGAAAAATTCATCCTATTTTAACATTATAAATGTGATTGCGATTAATCAAAAATAGCTAATTAGTCGAAAATAAAATTTGAGAGTTTTTTTGGGTCGATGATTTCGAATCTAAAATCAAAATACAAAAATTCAAAATGGCGGATCCAAAATCGCGGACAAAAAATTAAAAAATTAGTTTTGGTGCTGTAAAATGCGTGTGTATATGATTTTAACTATCACTTGACCATTTATTGTATCGCTGTCTTACAAGGAAGGGTAAACAACTAAAAAGTTCAGGAAATTCTTAAATATTGTGTGCAAATATAGTAGTTTGTCCGTAACATAAAACTATTTTTGTTCATGCGGAATTATGTTGATATAATAATTTTTCTTTTTCAAGTTGCAACTGGCTGCTCTATCAAAAGCCAAAATTAAATGTACGATATTTTATAAAAATAACAATTTCTTTATTCATACTTTGCTTGTAATTGTCTAAAGTATTTTGCATATTCCTTTACATATATCAAAACTATTTGAATTTTAGGTTTCGATACATTGTTATTATTACTGTTGTTATTGTTATGTAAAAGCTCATATAATAGTTACTGCTGTACTATATTGATGGATTGTAATGAATTTGCTCTTTACGCTATCTCGCGCAGCCAACGCGATATGAGACGAATACTAGGGAATACGTACATAGGTGTTTTCGTTCATATTTGAAAAATGGTTCTTCGGAAAATAATTATAACATACATTGTTTGCAGGATCAAATATCTCTTTGATTTTCGTTATATAAAAATTAAAAACAATTTATAAATAGGGATGCAAATAGAAGTATAAAATAAATAAATAATTAAAAAAAAATTTTTTTATTGTAGTCCTAAAGTACTTTTGAAATCATTCAAATTTTATTGCAGAAATTTTTTCGTATCTCTTATAACTTCGACGATATTCGCTTAAAAATATTTTTCCCAAAAAAGTATTTTACCTCCTAAAACTGTAATTCTGAACGAACAAAAAATAGTTTTACGTTACGGATAAACTATTTTACACACAATTTCAAAATTTTTTGAATTTTTGGATTGCCTAGTGGTCCTTAGTTTTTTACTAATAGGCTTTGTAACAACAGTTTTGCTGATAGTTAACTATCTGCAAACTACTTTAGTCTATTATATCATATTTTATGTTCATATCTATTACTCTTATTTACACGTAATCTTTTTCATAGAGCAAGAAATTAAATAAAAATAAAAATAAATATTTTGGACAGTTCAACACAGACACTTTGATGCTTACATTATTAAAATATAATTCTTTATCTGTCACATTTCCTGTACATATTGGAATATCAATTTTTACTCATATAAATTTATAATAATTTTTTTCTGTGTCGCATATTCGATAAATATGATTTTTTTAAAGGAATTGAAAATGTGCTTACGTGAACTTGCTATAATAGATGACACGTTGGAAGCTCTCGGAGCGCCAAAGGAATACCAAAGGCTACGTAAATGGATAATTCGAATAATAATCGGATGGATTGCATTCCTCTTTTATCAATTTGCATATTGGAATTTTTTTGCTTTATTTGTTATTAATTTTGACCTAAATTTCAGTCTTTTTTTTGTGATGCATTTTACGTTTGTGACTTATTATCCATCAAATGTCATTATCTTAAATGCTCTGATTTCTGCAGCTATCCTTGGGTTAGTATTATACCTGTGTATACATTTACTTTGTAATCTATTATGACATTGTGCGTCAAAATATTTACAGTGTGAAACACATAAAGACCTTTTGGTAACATATAAAAAATGGAAGCCATGTCTATTAATGACCATGAACTTGACAACATAATGCTTGATGACATATGTATGTCTTCTGTATTGTCTGTACAAAACATATGTATATAGTACTTATTTTGAGTTTTGAAAATATACTAAACAAAAATTATTTAAAATAAGTAATTAATCACTATTTTTCATTGTTAAATATTTATAAGAGATGACCACCTTCAGAAAACACTGCTAAAGAAGAAAATGTTCAGTAATGTAATCGAATAAACATACGGTCAAAATTTCCACCTTCAATGAATTTGATATTGACATATAACGTCATAAAAAAAATAATAGCAAAAGTAACGGTAAAATTGTAACATAAAAGATAATGGTAAAATTGTCATAAAAGAGTAATGAAAACTAAAAGTAACCCCCTCCCCCTGGCTGTAAGGGAGAGCCGCATGTCGATAAGTAGTTATGATACGATTGAATTAGATGCTATTGAATTTGTCTCCGCGATGGAACAGATCCAAAATGATTCCACAAAGTGTCCTGCATCGAAGAATTTAAATGCGTTTAAAAAAATTTGTATAAAATTCCGCATAAAGTGCGCCCCTCCCGACACACTGAGCTCTTTAAATTAAAAAGTACCTCCGATTCGTATGTCCGTTTAGCGGAGTACGAGTTGAGGTAAGTTTTCACTTCGCCCTCCATTCGACTTCCAACTCGTTAGGAGCCACAGGACGAAGCGAATTCCTTCCAATTTGCTGTTCTTCCACACGGCTCCTTTGCGATTCAGAGCCTGGACATGACCAAATCGATCTAATAATTCGGTTTCTGCGTTCACCCCCTCAGCTCCATGTATGTAGGGTTTGGATGAAACACTTATAATTCTCACCCGAACTAGAATAATTAATATCACATGCATATTTTCAAAATAGCAACAGTTTGAAAAAACAATTCGAATTTTCCTCACATTTTTCCATTTATTTGACCTTCAAAAAAATAGAAAAAAAATTAACATAGACTATTAATTCTAGCATAGG